TGGAGGTGCTTTAAGTCAGACGACAGTTTCACTCGTGGTGTTGAAACGAAGCTCGGTTAGCAGTCTGTTCCGTAGTGACTGCCTGCGTTCCCGTAGCGTAAGTGCCATCTGCCTAGGTTGTAGTACGAGTTTGATTATCTTTGGGAGGCACCCTTGGTATCAGCCTCGAGACAGAAGTCGCTACAACGACATTCAAGTGCAGTGTTTCACGAATATTAATGCCACTGCTTCTGGTAGTGTGCCTTTGCTTCATATTCATAATGCTCATTAGACTGAGGGACACTGTGGACAAAAATGTTCCTGGCTGCGGTATTTAGCCGGAACTCTTCTAAGCTCTGCTTCGCTAGCTTGCGCTCGCCCCATGGAACGTCTGGAAAGACGCGAAATAAACCGAATTCGTTCTGGAGACGATCAGTCGAATGCAACACTACTTCCACTTCATAGACAAAGTTTAACACATCCCGAAGAAGCGTGGCTGTGCCATAGTACTTGGAGTTCGGGTGGCAGGTGACCCACTCCTCAGAATACTGAGGAGGCTACTTATGGTATTCCATTGGTTTAGTTCATCCACCTGTTTCCTCTTCAAGACCTTCGATGTTGACTCAGGAACATTAGTACATACTATAGATACGGCATCCACTTGTTTCTGAGTTTCTTTTCTAGGAGTATGGACCGTGGTCGGAAGACGGAGCGATTTAAAATGTGTCCGTGCAGCGTTGCCTTTCACATTAGTTGCGAGTGTGGTAGTACGTAGAAACAGCAGTGTCTGACTTTAGGAGTTCACTTTGATACAACAACCGCCCATTTGCGGCTGCTATTTGCATGTTTTCTTGGTTTTGGCAAACTATGGTGGGTGCAAGTGGTTTGTAGGGAAATTGTTGTTAATGAACTGGGGTGAAGTGTTCGGGAACGCTTGGGCGATTTGGCTTATTGACAGTGTTTGCAGGAGCAACTTTATTAGCGTAAAATTCGGCATTGTCGAGTTGGCTTGCAGTGGAGTTCGGTGGAGGGTCCTATGATTGAGATTCTGCTGTGCTTGTTCCTACCGAAACTATTTTGGTGTGTAGCATCTTCCCAACTAAGCATTTATTACTTCTGGGACAGTGCGACTACGCTTTTAATCAATGGGACAGTATTACATTTCGCACAGAAGCAAAACGAGTTAGGCCTGATGCTGATCAGCCTGCACTCGCTTGGTGTGCTTTTCCCACATTTCGCATGTAAATAGGTTTGGTAATTTCCACAGAAAGTTCCTATTTTGACCGTCTTATTGCACATTCCACAGGTGCCCTTAGGCAGCGCGGATCGGGTACCAGCGCTCATCAGGGCAAGTGAACGCGTGATGGTTAGTTCTACCTAGGACCCTAGATGGTATGTTCCGGCGTCAAGGTCAATCCTCCGAGACAGATGGCTGTCACAACGCCTCTCTCTCTTACTCTCGCGGTCGCGCACAGATTGCCAGATCCAGCGGTGCGCATACAAGCACACGAAGACACGGTATGTATTGATCTGGTCGTGTTTTGCGCGACGATGCACGCATTCCGTTGGCAAGCTTCCCTGAGCGTCTAGGATGCAATGTTTGTGGATGAACGACGCAAAATGTCTCATAACTTTTTATGCTCCCGCTTGTATGAATGGTTGCAGGGTCGTTTGATAGTCCTCAGCTTCTTCTACCGAATGAGACGAAGATTATTCTCGAAACGATAGGGAGCGGTGTGATTTCACAGGCAGTAATCTACGAAGAATGTGACAAAACTGAAAACGGGCGTTGTATCGTGATCCACACAAGTTAGATCCAAGAGAGGAAAGGCACTGAGTAATGATCACCGAATTGGTTAGCAGGAATGCGCGTACAAGTATGTGTGTGGAGAACTGGAATGACCACCGCGAGGGAAGCGAAATCCGAGATAAATTGTGGCCGTACGACCAAGTGACACACCGTTTTGATATATTCTAACGTAGCAGTTTAGATGACGTAGTGGTGGGAGTCAAGGGAAACATCCAACAGCTTTTTAAACTCCAGGGTGAGGGTGGAAACAACTGTGTTTTTAGTAGCAGTCCAAGAGTGGGCAATACTGCATAGAAAAATAATTCCACCGGCATTCCAAACGCGCATACTGTTTACGCAGTTTCAGACAGTTAACTCTGAAATTGGTGTTATGGCCGAGTTTCAGCAGGTGCGGCATCCCTGCGTAGAGTCACCTAATTGGTATACTAATGGAATTGACGCGCTGCCGAAGGCAGCGCGTACTGAGAACTCTCAAGTAGGATAGATTTCGTATACACTTTACGTTCTTTGTAGCCCTGCGTTGTGGTTTCTCTAGCACCTCCAAGTTGCGCTTTTATCCGAGCTGCCAAGACCGTATAGCGTATTCAACGTGAGAACGCGCATAAGAATTGTACATCGTTGGAAATTTCATTGGGTCAGATCTCCGGAATGCTGTTCGCAGCAGGTCGAAGTGCTGGTTGCCTCTTTTCGCAGCAATCTCAGGTGTTTTGAACGTCGAGATCGCGTTCCAGGGAAGTGGTTTGCAATATATCTCAATCCAATACACGTAGTTATACCTATGGCTTAAATGAACAGCGCCAAATTTTTCCACATTGAAATGTAGCGTATTTGAGATGAAAAGTTTTTAATCGAGTTAGCACGTTGGAGTACTTCGTAGACGACCGGTTCCCTGACCATTCGCCATATTTTTGTATCATCTGGGAACAACAGGAAGTCGGAAGTAATTGCCCTCTCCAGATCCTTTATGGAAACCAAAGAATAGACGAAATCCTGGTAGCGAGCTTTGGGTGCACCGCACACCAGGCCAGTCACACCGAACACGGTTTCTCGTACTCTCACCACTGACCGACGTTCGTGCAGGAAATTTCCTATCCATCCCAGCACTGGGTCACCATTGCCACAGATATGAAATTTATGGTGATCTATGTGGTTAAATGTTCTTGAGAAGTCCAAGTGAATGAACTCGACTCCTGTTCCACCATCAAACGCTTCAGTCCAACTATTGCGCGCAATTTACAGGTTCGTAGTGTAGGGCGGTTTTGTTGGAAGCGATATTGCTCCGGTGCTATAATGCTGTGGTTTTCTAGGTATTGCATACGTTTATCTGTGATGACTGATTCCATAACTTTGGAAAGCACAAGAAGCAGCGTTATCGGACGGTAATTCTTCGGGTCAGTGCGGCTTCCTCCCTTATGAATAGGAGTGATAATCCCTCACTGCTATATTGTTGGAAGTTTGTTCTTCTCTAGACAGTGCTGATAGAATATGGCCAGTGCTTCTACTAGATCGCTGACTGCCGCCTTTACAGCCTTCATTCGAATGTTATCGACAGCAGGATGGATGTGGATATGTAGGGACAGCAGCTTCTTTAAAACCGCTTCTCTAGTAAAAGTGATGTCGACTAAACCTGACGGCGAAGTAATACAAAGTGGAATAATCATTAGGCCTGTTAGTATCTGGAGCGTAGGTGAGTATTGGAACCGTAAGGGATCGGCTGCTTTCGTTGCTTATTGGGTCTGCCCGTCAGTTGTGACCAGTGCTGGAATTCTGCGCTTCACCCTACGACTGCCATTAACATGGCTGTATACGTGATTACGATTTGTACAGAAATGATGCATTAACTCCTGTTGATGCGTTACCTTGTCCGCACACATCAATTTCATGCAAATGTTACGCTATGCCATATGTGCTGTTCAGGTTTTGGAATTCGGGGAGTCATCGTAAGCTCTCCATGTTAAGTCCTCAAACGCATGCAGTTGTGTGTTCCACTTCTCATAAATGTGCTTCATAAGGACCTGAGCGTCAGTGTGATAGCAACTCGCAGACACCTACACTGTCCAACGAACAGTTCTATAGCCATCAGGATAAATTGGTAGGAACAGAGACAGAACAAGCCACTAGTGTCCTTACGCGTCAATCACTGTAAAGTCTGTAGCAGGTCACTGAACTTTATGAACACTTACACTGACCGAAGACTTCTGTGGGATTTTTAACTTAGCGCCAAGTTTTTGATTAACTCTGACCTTCTAGATGCATTTGTTTAAATGATGCTTTTAAGTGTGTTGTTCTCTTTCTTATTTTCCTTATGTCACTGACGCTACTTCACAGCGCTTGACCAACACAAATGACTGGATGTGATTTCCTCTTCATCGAGTGCGTCGTCCGTTGAACTTGGCCACCACATGTTCTGCATCCAATAATCATAGCTTCATTAGGCTGCTACCATTAGACCTAACTTTACTTCTCTAACGAATCTAAAGTTTCTTGCGCTGAAGCAAACGGAAAAGGAACATCTCCATGACCCCTTTCCTCATTGAACCTAGTTAGGATGATGTCGCAGTATCATAGCAAACATAATAAGCACAAACGATCAGCAGGGTCGCAGGGATACGACGACACACAATTTTCCTGCTCCACGCTGATATATGTACTAGTTTGTAAACTTAAAAACGTTCAGTGGTGGTACCTTCTTGTCACTGTTGTTGCCGAAGTAAGCTACGGTTGAGTTAAGAAAAACAAGCCGTTCGAACGATTCTACACTGGTTGTTTCACTTGCTTTCCTTTACACGTCAGTTGGTGCTCGAGCCTGCAAGCTTGCCCTATAAGTGACTGCTCAATAGTCACAAGGTTACAAAAATTCTTAGTAGATGGCATATGTTCATGAACTGTATACAGCTTTAACTAAAGGCTTCGGTCTGATTGTGAGGGTCTGTAGTGCCAGTGGACACCAGCAAACTGTTCGTAATATGAACTGTTCGTGTGCATTTACGTTTCATGCAAATGACATGAGGTTTCCACCATCTGATCAAATAAGGCATCTAACTACGACAAAGCATCTGTTGGCCAGGTAGCAAGGCTCAGATGCGGCCAGCCCATTCCATGTGGTAAATGTCCCAACTCCCTCCAGATGAATACACTTTTGTTAGCATTGCTTTTGGTAGTTTTGTGGAGAGTATGCACTTTTTAACTGACGTCTTTTATATGTTTGTAGAAACAGAAGGCTCTGGCCAACGTTATAGGAAGTATCATGAAGGTAAGCTGGTCAACTACGCATCTTCCGCACGCAATGCATACCTACTCCCCACGCTTCTCAGCTCGAGAGCAAACGCTTCTAGTTACTTGGCTCTTTTCCGGCATCAGGCTCCAAGCGTTTGTTTTGAATGTTTGCAACACAGCATCCAGTGGAAGTTTCTTTTGATCAACCATCGGGGCGTTGATAGAGCAGGCTAGTTATCGCCAATGTTAAGTGGACACTGTCCATCGTTACGCTATCCCGCGCCTTTCATGTGAGATACCGTTAAGCATGGCCCGTAACCCGGTGGGCGAATCAGAACGCGCAGGCTTAATAACCAATGAACTATGTAAGGTAAGCCAAGGTCTGAGTCAAACAATCATGTGGGTAACTGTGTCCACGATCGATACGCAGGAGCATTCATGACTGATATACGATTCACCAGTTTGGTTATTTAATGAGACGTGCAAAAGTACACAAGAGTGGGCACAGACGCTTGCGATAGTGGCAAATAACTGCACATATATCCATAATGATTGCGCTTTACTTAATGGCCCACTCTGTGATTTGTGACGGCCAGACTCTCAGCTGGGTTAACTTCGCCATCCTTAGCCTGTGCTCTTATGCTTGTGGTTGTGTGGTAGCCGAGAATAAATGAGTACTCGAGAGTTACCGGAGTTTTCATCCAAATTCCTGCCGACCGAATGCAAAACGCGAAGCTTAGTGCAAAATGATTACCAATGGTGCTTCGTACTGATGGAATAAAGTGGAAAAATCAGATATGCCCGTGACGGTCTAAAAACCGGCTTGTCACACCTACACCGGTTCAACATGGATGGCGATTCTGTGCTTGCGAATAAAAGAATATCGACGGTCCCCGTCTGTATTCCCCAAGTAGCAATCACATTGTACGGATTTGCACAAGTTACTTCCTACCAAGAAATCCGTAAGATGTTTGGCAAATGTGTACTGAATAATGTTTTAGATCCTCATCGTGCTCACAGTATTGTGAGGACTGCGTTGAGAAAGGAAAGTACTCAAGTCTTCGCTCTAATTGGACCTAGGCTCGGCAGACGACGACGAGTCTAAACAAATTCGCTTTCCGTCGACTGCTTAGGTGGAAAAGTAGGACAGTTGATCTTCATTCTTTCATAATTTTAATGATTATAATGTCTGGTGTTTTAGCATAGTCTCCGTGTTTCAGTCGCTTACGTAAGACGAACGCATTGCACTTGGGTACTCGTAAAAAGTAACTCGAGAGACCTCCATGTTGGAGCGCTTGATGAGCCAATGTCCTGCTATCACAGTAGAAGACAATTACTATTATTTACAACCTTACCACTCCCTCTTAGGAATTTGATGTACATTGTTTGCCATATGAGCAAAACTCACCCCGAGGTTCACCTGACTATTAATCACTTTGAGACATCAATGGTTTTCTCTCTAGGAATCTTACTTGACCTACTTAAGAAATGAAATGCGCTCCTTTCAATTCGACACCAACAACATGCTTTGGATGGGAGAAACGGTCCGTAGTACGGTACAGTCTGCGCTCATCTGGCCGTACAACCTTCTTTGCCACGTTTCCTGGCAGTGAGGGCACTAGTTCGCATTCAAGATGATTGTGAGCTTCCATGGTGGGTCGCAGTCCATCCACACAATAAAGACTCCAGGTTAACTAACGGTGGGTTATTACAAGTGTTGCTGACGGCGCGGACGATTTGTAGGTCCATATTCCGAGGCCCGGTTCAGCTACGCCTGTGTGAGCACTTCGGATGAAGACGAACAAAGTTGTGGAATGTAGTGTTTGGAATGGGGAAAACTGGCACGTAACTCGTAGTCTTGTCCCTGTTTTCTGTGCTCTAACAAACGGGACTGCTTTCTGATTTGTTTTGATATCACGAGAGGAATGCAGTATGTTAAGCGGTATGTCGGCATTTCGGAATTAACAGCATACTTACATCTTATGATATACTTGAGTCCACTCATGTTCGTTCCTGTAAGAGGTTAGTGTCAGCTCTACTTGCCGGTAATGGTCACCCCTTTCATAGCTTAGTACTGAACTATTTGTCCGCTTAGTCGACCAGACAGAAGTACAAGTCCATGTATGCCCGAATACGAGCTTACAGTACGTCAGTTATTCCTTCTCCAACACGACTTTAGGTTGACCCAAACAAACTCGTCCGAGAATTAACTGACCATTTTACGCCATGAAGTCGTTGTATTTGTCATTTATTAAACCAACTTTTGGTCTGCTTTACTATCATGCTTACGTTTTCTTACATTTCTTAGTTTGCTTACATTTCTGAAAGCATGTGGTACAACTGATCACGTACTCCTCGTCATGTAGATAAAGCACTTTCTTGACTTAACTTCAGGATGTGTTCCCTTATTTGGATCGCCACCTTCGGAGAAACCGCCTGTACTTATTGGTGAGACTGCGAACCCAGGACGCGATAACCTCACGCAAAATAACCTTAAAGACGTAGTGGCTACAAGCTAATGTATCCGGCGGTTTTTGAAATCTTAGGTTCCCTAATTTAAATAACCCAATTTGTAACACGGCTCTTGTTGAGAAAGCTAACGAAATGATCAAGCCGTCAGGTAGAAGCCCGAAAAGCCCTTCTCACTACTTTTGGGACACGTGGCATTGAGCAGTGAGTTATCCGAAGGCGGACGCAACGGCGCTTGGTGCAGCAGTGGCGAAGTTGTGCCAAGTGCTTGGACTAGTTGGCATCAGATCTGAACCTATGGCATTGTCGTATGTGTAGGAGATGGTTCTTGAATATACCTTTCCAACACCGTGTTGATTAATGTCCAAGAGCACACGCACAACTGTCCGATATCACAGTTGTCCAATAGGCGAGAGCGAATCGATCGGCTAGCTTAACGAGACATTGTGCATCTTCTGCTCAGGAAAATCCCTATCATATAATGCTCGTATTTATCGTTATTTATACCAACATTGCATTATTTTAACTTGCATCTCGAATTTGGGGCGTCTGGCTTCTGTCCATATTACTTGCGTCATGCAACATGCTACTAGCAGACATTTTAGTAGTATAATATTTAAAGATGGCAGTTTACTAATAACCACTGTGATTTTCCCTTACCCTACTATTGCCGACTACTCCAGCTTGATGGAATTGCCCCACTTCTCACAAACACATTAGGAGGCGTTACTCACGTGTATGCACCGTAATCAGAGAATTAGTTTTCTCTGTTCCTCGGTGCATTCCAACTTCCCTCCTTCGGACCTTTCCGGCTTAGGCAGAAATGAAGCTATTTGAAACCGATAGTGGGAGGTCTGCACACTTTGAACAATGAACAATGAATGTATACCAGTTAAGAAGCGTTGCTTTCTAAGTTGAATGGTTAGTAGGGATAACGAAATAATAATAATGATAGTAAAACAGTTAGTACTTTAAATAAGAAAAGAAAGACTTGTCGTTTGCTCCGCCGTAGTCCTGTAATCCGCTTAGATTCACAGCACCCGCAGTTAACATCAAATAATTCCATGGCAAACTTCAGATGTAGGATGGAGACGTAGTGCTAAGTGAAAAAATGTATGAGTGCATCTTCCAACCGTCTTTTAAATACGGTTCGTATTGATGCAGTGACGACCGATTTTGGGCGAGTATTCCACGGATGACAGACACGAATGGAAAAGAAATTTCTGGGACACTGCAGGCGGCTGTACTGTACAGCGGGTTTCAGTGAGTGGCCGTTCAGGTTTGTATTGCTGCTGAGTTGCAGTAAAGGGCGGCACACATGATGTGGGTCTGGCAGAATCGAGTATGCTATAATCAGATCGCCTCATAGCCTGCGAGAGCTTCAACTAAATACCCCCAATCATTGCAGCCTATCTTGGTATGAAAGATTGCGCATTCCAATTATCTTCTTAGATGCTCGATGCTGTGACTGCTCTAGTGCATTAAGGTCGAGTTTCTGCCATCGACGCCAGGCTTGAATTGCGTGTTCGACATGGGGGGAACATACGCACTGAGCATTTGTGAAAATATGGAGCTGTTTATTTGTCCAAACGCCGGTCGCAACAGCCCGACTTGTTTGTTCCTAGTCTTCGAGGTTTTTCCGCATTGCTTAGAGCAATCCAAGTCACCTCGAACTAGGACACCCAAGTCACGTTCGACAGTGGGTTGTTGCAGCATATTCGTTCCGAGCCGGTATGAGTAGCTGCTCTGATGTCGGATGAAAAGTGCCTTGCATTTACTGACGTTGAAATGCAGTAGGTTTTGGGTTGACCATTGATACACCGTATCTAGGTCATTCTGAAGCACATGCTGGTCGTCGTTCGCCTGGATCCTACGCCAAATTTTGATATCGTCGACCAACATTAGGAAGTTTGAAGCGATTCCCCGTGTCAACTCATTAATCAACACAAAACCAAACGTGGATCTAGAACTGTACGTTGCGGCACGTCACACTCGACTTGCTTGGGGTTCAATAAAGAGCTCCGAACTCTGACCACTAATTGCTGTTGAAGTAGAAAGTTGGCGATCCAGCTTAAAAGAGGGTCGCCGATCTCGTAATGCTGCAGCTTGGGGACTAGTATCCGATGGTCTAGACGGTCGAAAGCCCTCGAAAATTCCAGTTAGATCACATCAGCACCATCTCCAGCATCCGCTGTCTCCTTCCAGTTACTGCGTGCAATTAGTAAATTCGTTGTACATGACCGCTGTCGACGGAAACCGTGCTGCTCAGGAGTGATGATGTTACCGTTTACCAGATAGCAAAGCAGTGTATCAGCAACTATGGTTTCCATGACCCTGGAGAGTATAGGGAGTAAGGATAGCAGGCGGTAGTTGGAGGGATCAGTACTGCTTCCACCTTTTGAATCGCGGTTATAATTCCAAGATTCCACAAGCGGGAGGTTGATTCTGGTCTAAGCAGCGTTGGAAAAACTGAGCTAAAGTTCCTGCCAGTTGGCTTGCTGCTGCTGCTTCCAGTGCTTCTGAGCGAACGGTGTCGACACCCGGCAAGCTGTGTTTGAGTAGAGATGTCAACTTTTGCAATACTGCCTCTGCGGTAAAAGTGATGTGGCTTTGTCCTGGCGAGGAGACGACAAAGCTTGAAAGATCGCTTGGTGGCAAGACCCACTGAAACGTGGGGCCATATTGCATCAGCAGCATGTTTGTTGCTTCAACAGCCGTTCTTGTTGGGCCATTAGCCGTCTTGAGTGGAGGAAATCCTTGCCTCACCTTTCGTAGGCTCTTAACGTACTTGTACGGCAGTTTGTGGTTAGCACTGAAGGCTTTTGCGATGTTCTGCTGATAGGCGGCTCTGTCTTCTCTTAGCAGTTGTGGGAAGTGGTTACTTTGGGCCACATAGTTGTCCCAAATTTCTGGTGTTGGATCCTTTCTGTACACTTACTATGCTGTGTTGTGTACACTCATCCATTTTCGAATTCTGCTCCTAACGAAAGAAACTGGTGAACACTTATCGCAAACTCATTTCTGAAGCCTCTGCAATCAGATGTCTGACGAACTCGAGCCAAACGACTTCTGGGAGTTCTTCGACAAGCAAGGACCTAGTTGTGGCGTTGATGAGCTGGGCTAACCGATCGCAGCTTGTGATGGTTCGCACAGTCTCATCGTTCTCATTCCGATGTTCTGCACAGCAGACAGAGTTGAAATTGATCATTGAGTGATCACTGCGACACAACGGACAGTTTAAAACCGACAAATCAATCATATGCTACTCATTCGTAAGCACGAGATCCAGCACAGATGGCCTGTTATCCGTTCTGAACCGAGTGGGCAAGGTGATGTAATTGTAAAGACTGTGACTACGTCTGAGACGGTAGTTAATAGCAAGTAAAGTGGTTTCTGTACAACTCTATGGAAGTATGAAAAATCAAAAACATTATTTGTGAATCGTCAGCGGTTGTGTTTGGTCAGTTAGTTGTTTATACTTGTTCGGTTAGGGATTCGTATTGCTGTCGTTATTTCCGGGTATACGATGTCTTCTTTTGGCATTGAATGTGCATCGTTTCACGAAAGCACAGGTTTCCGAAATAATCGTCCATCCGTGTCTTAAAACACTTCACAGAATCAGCAACTATTAATACTTTTGGTAATGTATTGTATAAGTTTACGATTCTTTGTTCTATACAAAGCTGATGTGATAGTTTGTTCATGCAGGGGAATCTGAGTTTGTAGCGGTGTCCTCGGATGTTACAAGGTTCCCGCAGGTGAAATATTGGCCGCAGTATAGGGAAATGATGCAAGTGTAGTACTCGATGGGTCATAACAAGGTCAATTTGTACTCGGTGGTAGGATAGTGTGTAGAGTCCGAGCCTTTTACAACGTTTTTCATACGGAAACTTTCGTAGATTGGGTAGCATACTAATTGCGATATGCTGTATTTTATCCAGCTTTTCAGTTTTCCACTGGGTTATCGGATGCTAAGATGGGTCACCGTAATCAAGGATTGGTCTAATGAGTGAGGTGAGTAGATGAGGGAAGGTTTCTTCGTACCATGTGGTGAGGAACAATGGTTAGGAGATCCTGTAGATTGGCTTTGAATTGTTCTCCGATCGTGGCAAGACTTTCTACACAATGTACCTTGAAATCACCCATGATAAGTATGTGAGTGTACTTTCGCTGTAAACTGCATCTTAAAGCAGCCGCTAGATGGCATTTGGTTTCGGGTGTAAAGTTAGGTGGGCGGTACACAAAGACAATAAGGCAAGCGTCCCCGCCTTTTAACTGCAGGCGGCACCAAAGAGAGTCGAGGACCTGCGAGTCTGACTTCCACATGTCTTCACACTGTGAGTCGCTTCAATACTACAGTATTACCCCTCCTCCTTTTGTGAGCCTCTCGTTCCGGATCAGCGACATGCCAGTTGACGAAACTTGATCTATTTTACCTCGTATCACGTACATGCAAGTGTAATGTTATTAAGGAGCTGACGAAAAACCGAATACTTTTTTCAAACACAATTTGTTGTTGGACGGACAACTGAAGCGGGATTCTCGAACGCTAATGTTTGGTGCACACATGTAGCCACAATGACCCTAACACGTGGCGCGGCTATTTCAAATATGATGTCTGCGCTATCTATCTAGGGATCTACTTGGATCCCAAACTCATATCTGTGTTAAGTGATCTTGGTTACCCAGTACGCCTTCCATTTCCAATAACGTTAACACACTGGTTTCGTCTCTCTGTCTTACTCGTTACCTGATCCCTTATGCTTGTCGTCTGAACTTCACCACACCGTCGGCCAGTTACACTGTGCCTATACCGTTGAGGTCAATGATTTCACAATCATTACGTCATGTTTAGAAAGTTCTCCGCTTGATTTCTACACTCTCAGTTTACTAAAACAATTTTTGGCACCATGTTGTCGTGAGCCTATTCGGCGGGGGGGGGGGATAAAAGTTCACCGATAGAGAAGAAAATAACCCTGTAGATATGTTTTACACTCCAGCCGCAATTGTAGTAACACGATGTCCTGCTTGTCAATTTTAAATTCACTAGACTAATCACATGTTCACTTTCAATCCGTTCGCAAGGAAGCAACATTTTTTCCCTTAATGGATCAGACGTGTCATCATGTGGATTCCGATTTGTTTCAGCTTCCAGAATCCATCAGCCTGCATCTCATCGGCAAAATTTTATCGTTCCTAATGGGCACTCGCTATTACTCAGAATACTTGAACACTGCGTTCACAGGAACAAAGGACACTCGTAAGTTGCCTTTCTTAGGCTATGGGTGCGTGCGTGTTAACTGGAGTCATACCAAGTCAAGTGAATCATTTTTTTGTAGACAATACTTAAATACATAAATAAATAAACGGTATATTTCTCGACATTCGAGACACAGGTAAAATACCATCTTGAGTATTGGTACAACAATGTTGGATAGTGGAAGGATTTTTCAAGTTCTGTTATGTTCTCATTAAAGTTCTTGCGGTGCTCAATCACTTAACAGTAGTACCATATGGAGAAGTTGTGAGTAGGAATAAAAGTTTTTATAGCCGTCAGGTCAAGTAAAGTAATACGAACCTTCTTGAAACTGTCTCCCGGACAGCTGCTTCCACACACCACTTACATTTCTCACCTGGCCATGCGCTGTCGTGGTTTAATGCAAGCACCCAATGTATTTCTGTTGACTAGTTTCTTCTTGTTGGCTGTTGTCATATGCAATTTTGTCATCATTATCGTGACACAGTATACATAGATATGTATACATTTATGTGGGGGCCTGTGTAGTATGTTAAGCTCCCCCCCATCATACAGCTATCCTTTAGCTACTTCGAGTCTAGCACTTTTAATATTCGCCAGTGAGTTCGTAACAGCTCTCATTTCATGAGTGGATTGCATTTTTGGAAGCATTTATCTATCACCTTGAGAGATCGGCTCAGTGGTAGCCAACAGTGGTAGGACAGAAATCAACGAGAAGAAAAGCGATGCAGGAACAATAATGAGAAGACGATGTGCTTTTGTCCAAATTTGTTCGATGCAGATTGTCCAAATTATCACTAGAGATATAAACCCTCAGAAATGTATACGCTTTTTAAATGGCATTTTCAGAGGAAATAATTATGATGCCTCCAACAGCTGTAGCAAATCAAATTTGGGAGATTGGTGATGTGAGATCAATTTTTGTGACCCACAAAATATTTTCTCCAGTGAGGGGGATAAAACTGTATGCAGTGTAGAGCAAGTTTACTGTCGGTCCAAGCGTTTAGCTGCATTCGGTAAGAGGAGAAGTAAGCTATTGCCATCATTCGGGTCTTATCGCTATCACTTGCAAAAGCGCTGCTTGCAAAACACCTTTGGAGGATTGGCCCAATGTTACCGTTGTTTAACAAAAGACCAAACTGCTTAAGTTCTTATCGCCTACCCCCTGTCAGCGGGTTCAATGGACGAAAAGTGAGTAGCGCGTCTCACTCAAAACCTCAGTTAATTAGCAGCAAACATTTGATGCAAGCTTTATGGAATATTGTTGGCACTGGTCAATGGCTGTTGGTGTACACGTTCGAAGTATTTGGGAAACAATGAAAACGGACTTTAAACGGGCTAAGAAGCACTACTTTACAAGCCCCTTTGTGTGAACTGGTCGGGGTGTTGAAAATGTACTTTTATTGTCTAAAGAATAGAAATAAAAAAATTATTCGGTTAAAGAGGACAGAGGAAACTTATGTGGAGTTCGCTGTGTGGAAGTAAATATAACATGTCGACCAGGTTTTTGTAAACCAATTACAACCTAGGCGAGCACTGAATGCCTGAACATCCAACGGGTGCAAGCATCACCTAAATAACTAACTAACTAAATACGATGTATATTCTTTATGTTACACGAGGCACGCCAAAGAATGCATAATCGGTTTTGTACAATCGGAAATGCGAACATTGCTGTTTGATGAAATATTAATCTTTGCTAGCGTAAGTTATGAGGTGCTTGAGATCCAGGACATGAGATGTGTTTGTGGCAACTGTTTTGCAAATGCATAGGAGCTGATGGACGCGAATGATGATTTGGATATTTATTGCAAGCAATTGCAGGATAGGTGACTCAAATGGTGTTTTGGTCAGTTGGATTGGTTCGATCTCGAACCGATTGCTTGCGGCGCTATCCACAGTCACCTGTCGTCCACGATTCGGCCCCTCTTCGTGAAAGCTGGATTCAGCTTTCCCTGGGCCGCGTTGAATTCCTGGCCCTATTCAGTTGAGGAATCCGTGATCCTCATGGGAATGGAGATCGCAGTCGCTGATGAAAGACCATCCGTCTTCATTGCAAGGTCCCACAAGCGCCAGCCAATATGTCTGAAAGACTCGGAACGAAGAGTAACGAACAGCCGGCAGCCGAACCGACACCCGGACAAAAATGTGCTGGAAGCGTACAAGAAAAAGTGAAGAACATGCAACAAAGGATTAACCGTTGAACCATTCTGTACGGTTGTGCTTCTTAGGCAGTTCCGCTACCAACTTTTAAGCTCTTTACGAAGACAAATTATTGCGGAAACGCATTTGCATCTGGAGAAAGTCATATATTCGCATACACACACAAACGCAGTGACTCTTGAGCTAACTACACCTAGCTATTACCCAAAATGTGCTGTATGTTCCGCCCTACATAAAGTTTATCAATAATTCAAGAGAAACCTTAGGCCCATCTCCCTTTGAGAGTTCGTAATCGTGCTTTGTGAAACCTTAACCCACACGGCATCAGCCTCTTGTACCCCCTACGATGCACATATATTTCACATAGCCATGTTTGGCTGCGAACTAGACAATATCAAATGGGATGATTTTACTAGTTAAATTTGGTTCCCAATATTGTTTGTAAGCCCTGTAGCTAGGCATCGAGTCGCAAGCATCACATTTCTTTCAATCTAGAGCTGAGATCACGAAATTCATAGTTTTGGTATCCAGGAGGAATTGTTTGCTCCAATTGCATCAAATTGCAGACCAGTTTAACAAGTCACCGACTCCAGAAAACGTTGTGTTTAAGGAGCTTCCGCAAGCGAATACATTCCAACTAATTGGGTAGTAAGGTCAAGTAAAAACGAATGAGCTGTACTGTTGTCTACATGACAGGAATGACGCGGTTATCTATTCCGTTCCCGGAATAGCGAACAGACGCTTTTGAACCTCGAAATGCAACTTCTATCCACCGAGAAAGTATCACTCCTAAGTTGTCGTCTGTTGACTGCGAGAATTAAACTTAACATCTAGCTTTAGACATGATCCATATTCCGTGGAAGGAAAGTTTAACAGCTCGTTATAATAGTCTAGGAAGAGTTGAATGCTTATAACATCTAAATGAAGAAGTGGGACGAAATGATGATGCTCACCATACATCAGGTGTGACACCTGCAATACACAGATTTAAAACGCAGCACATATCTTACCATGGACAACATCTTTCTTTACGTGCAACGCTCATGTGCAGCTTGGCGGCATTTCATTATAATAAAGAAAAACTGAATCCTCTGATACACTGGGCGTTGAGCGTGGGTCTATGAGTTAATTGAAAAATGGGGTTGTTGCAATAGCTGGCTACCTTTTCTGGCTCGAGAAGATTTGAAGAGCCAATCAAATTCAAGCCGTTGTTTTGCATAGTTGTTGCCCGGGTCGACACAAATGGCGTTTTTAGGAAATTGTTAGGAGGTTGCGGAGAATTAGCTTACCACAATGCGACAACAGTTTACAGATAGAGAATAGTAATCAGATACCTGCACCAGCTAAATCCTCAGATGACTGCAAACAGCTCGTCAACTCTGCCGCCCCGATGGGATCATCTCTATCGTTGCCTGTAAACAAAATGCAGCGCTTAGTATGTCACTCAACGACTGAACTACCAGCTAGGGCTATTACTTTTTCGAGTGATCTCAAATTTGTACAAGTGTCCACTGCACACGGTAATTTTACACCAGGAACTGTTCTAAACGGTCGGTGTTAAATTTCTTCAATACAACTAAATAACTAAACAAATAGACAAACGGTGTATTCTTTAACAGTACGAAACACTGTCCAACTGAATTGTCTGATCAGTTGTGTATCTACGATGGGTCCCATTAAACGAACCATGTCCCAACTAAAGACTGCAATTCACGTATCTAAAGAAGCGGTTAGTTCGTCAAAAAACCCCAGTTTTGATAAACCTTTGCCGCACAGTCTGATGGCCTAATGAGGAAAATGTACTAGTAGATACGAGAACCTGTGCCCGACATCCAACTTCAATAACTCCTTACTGAAAACTCTAACAAGAGACAAAATGGCCCCGGAGATATTTCATGAGCGAGTCATGCAACGGTCAGCTCGTTACGTCTCTACAGAGGACGAGCTAAGTCCAATATTTTCTCTTGATGTTGATAAGATTAGTGTGGTCAAAGTCGAAATATGCGTCGGATTAAACTGAAGTATAATACGGGCAAAAAGGCCAAAGCTTGACCAGTTCCATTTTCGGATACGACAGATTTATGATAAATCAACACTGTTGTCGAGATGGAGGCTGCGTAACTTATCTGAACAGGTCGCTCGCAGCAGCTTTCGAGAACCCATTGCTGAAAGACTTCCAAGAATCCCTATAGCTCGCCATATCTGTTACTCAGCAGCAGCTGCTAATGTATCTACCGGGCGCCAAACTACAGCCAAGGGGACCTAGCATTTTTGACGGTTGCATCTGTATGTGCATCTAGTTTACCGTTTAAACATAAGATTATCGGAGAATATCAACTTGCGATCTATTACATTGTCCATGGGAACCGCTCCTTTGAAATTCCGGTACTTATCTCTTACACCCAAATGAGTGGATGTAAGAAACATGGCTTCTAATCTCCCAAAGATGAAATGTACTCTGGATCTCTATTTTAACATGGGCTTGTCTGTTATCTATATTAATGTTCTTGATGAATTTCCCGCGAACGACCATCCGGTGGTCAAACGCGGCTTAAGCATACGCATGGCTGATGTCTATACCTAATATACTATCGTGCTCAGTTCCGTCGACTGGAACTCATTCAAGCTCCTGGTTCGTTTTATAAAAACTGGGACAACTTCTTTCTGTCTTCATGTCATCAACAATCAGCAGATCTGTATTTATAGTATAATTGTGCTCTGCATCGGTTCGGTAGTGCGGCTAAAAGGTGCTCAGCAAACTAAACATAAACCCGAGGGCGATGTTCAAGGAAATATGCAAGCTGCATAAAAATCGGCCGAAATTTAAGCCAATTACAGAT